TTCTTAAAAAGTTAAACCTGTACCTGCCATGTGACTGATTTCACCAGTCCAGGCTTAAGTTTACCCAAGAAGAAAGCATCTTGGGGCTGGTGAGACGGTTTAGTGGGTAAAGGTGCTTGCAGCACAAGCCTAAAGACTTGAGTTTGATCCCCAGAACTCACATAAAGGTGGAAGGAGAGAAGCAAGTCCATGATATTTTCCTTTGATCTCCTCATGGGCGCCATAGCATTTCCACATCATACAAAAACACATGCACAAACAAACAAAGAAGTTTTAAAGATAGCATGTTCTCATGAAAAGGTTGCTAAGTGACACTTTACAGCAATGTTATTCGTGATCTCAACAACATAAATTTGCACCAACATAGAAGTGCACTAACTGCAATATGTCCATTTAACAGAACACAACATGGGAATGCAAAGCAGTGACTTATTGGTAAGGCAAAACACTCATACAAATAAATAATAAATAAATAAACAAACAAACAAATAAAAATATTTAAAAACAAATTAAGAGCCAGATGTGGTGATACACACCTTTAATCCTAGCACTCCAGAAGCAGAGGCAGGAAATCTCTGTGAGATGAGGTCAGCCTGGTCTACATAGTGAGTTCTAGATTAGATGGTGCTGCATGGAAACCCTATCTCAAAAAATAAAAAAAAAAAAAAAAAAAGAAAAACCCAGAAAAAAATGTAAAATATTTAATAATGTCTCTCCCATAGGCTTGCAGGTCAGTAAGTGTTTTTCAGTTTTCCAATTTTTTTTGGAGGGGGGAAGGGTGCACAAGATCTTTCTACATTATGTAGCACAGGCTGGCCTCAAATTCAAGATCATCCTGTCTCAGCTTCCCAAGCTATGGGATTGTAGGTATACACCATCACACGCCCGCTACTTAGCATTGTACTGATATACAAGTTAGTAAGGGATATTTCAGTTTCTTGTATTGGATTTTATTAAGATTGGATGACAGGTACTTAACATTTTTTTTTCAAAGAAAGCGTCTGATTTTATAACTGACAAATGAATTTCAGGATCACCTGACCCTTTACTTCCTTCTTGAGCCCACTGACCAACCTTAGGCACTAATAATGAATGGCACAACCAGGTGCTGTGTGCATCTCACTGTGATGCTATGGAAACACTCAGCGCATCCTGGAAGACGTCCTGCCGAAAAGGTTTCATCAAAATCATTGAACTATACCAGGTATGGTGGTGCATGCCTTTGATCCCAGCACTTGGGAGGCAAAGGCAGGCAGAGTTCGAGGCAAGCCTGGTTTACACAGCAAGTTCCAGGCAAGCTAGGGCTATAAGGAGACCCTGCCTTAAAAAAAAAAAAAAACCCAAATCACTGAAATCTTATCAAGCCTGTAGCTTCTTCTTTTGTTTTTTTAATTTCTGAGGCAGAGTCTCCTTCTGTAACCCAAGGTGGCCTGGAATTCACCATCCTCCTGCCTCAGCCTTCCAAGTGCTGACATTACAAGCGTGTGCTCACACTCTAACTTCCATTTAACGCTAGAAAGGAGCAGGCAAATCCACAAAGTGACACCCTCCGCAGATTGTACAGCACAGCTTCACCAGCAAGCTCTGTTCTAAAGCAAACGACACAGAAGCCAAACACAGAGCGAGCATCTTGTTAAGACCCAAGTTCAAACACATGCCCAGTAAAAGTGGACTTTTGGTACCGTATAGGATAGCTAAATATGCCCTTGGTTTAAATTACTTTAAGCAAGATTTGCTAATCAGGCTAGCAGTGACGATGGCAATGTCATTGTATATAAAATACTTTTTTAAAATACGAATACTAAGGTATTTAAGATGGAAATATCCTAATGTGGGCTGGGGGTAGCTTGGGAGTACACTCACAGGAAGTGTAGAGTGATGACCTGATTCCATGCCCAGCAATGCAATAAAAAAATAACAATACACCCAACACTTGGGAGGCAGAGGCAGGCGGATCTCTGTGAGTTCGAGGCCAGCCTGGTCTACATAGCGAGTTCCAGGTCAGCGGGGGCTAAAGGGAAAGCCTATCTCAAAAGAATCAAAAAAAAAAAAAAAACAACCCCCAAAACAAAACAAAACAAACAAACAAACAAAAACAAAAATAAAATGCCAAATGTAATCTTTTAAAAATAAGTCAGGAGGTCAAGAGTGATACAGTGCTTGCCTAGCATGTGTGAGGCCCTAGGTTCAATTCACAATATCACAACACAAATAAATGAATTTAAAATATTTTTGAAAATAACAGATAAAAAGGGCAAAGTATTAAATAATTGGAAGCTAAAGACAGATGTAAGTAGCTCAAACCTACAATTTTAGAACTTGGAGGTAAGGCAAAAAGATTGCTGTGAGTTTGAGACCAGCCAGAGTTACATAGTCAGTGTGGACTAGAGTAACACCCCCGTCTAACAGCAGCAATAACAACAACAAAAAGAAACCCATGTAATGGGCTTGTGGGACCCTGTATCCTTCTCTTTACTCTTCTGTGTTTGAAAACATGAATCCACCGACATGCAGCATATGTGGTTCAATTTCCCTCCCCAAGCCCAGCCCTATGACCTTGTACAATAATTTCCTTGCTGTGACAGAAGTAAAGGGTTGGTCCTGCCCTTACTAAAGGGATGACATGAGCTCATATGCAGAGATATGTGGCATGTAGCTTCTATTTTGGATGGCAGAGTGGACACAATCCTACTATGAGTGCTTCTTGGGTATTTTCTTTGGCCAGGCAGCTGCCGGGTGCTACCTCACTGAGGCTGGAGACCTGGAGGCCATACAGACCTCTCAATAACCAGACATTTACAAATGCAATCAATGATAAGTTCCACAAAGGAAAGGACCTGGGCTCTCTGAGACTTCTGCGTGACTGGTTAGGAAGTGAGGCCATGGAAACGAATGCGAAGCAGCTGAAGCAGGGGCTTTGGGCACCCGGCTTTTCTACCTACTAGCTGCGTAACCCTGAGCAATTAATTCGCTTCACCTCTCGGGCCCCACGTCTGCATAGAGCGCAGGAATAGTCCTTACCTCACAGGGTTGTTCTGAGGATGGTCTGGCTAATAGTGGAAGGTGCTTGGAGTAGCACTGCACATACTAAGTGTTCCATACTCTTGTCATTAGAATGTCACTGGTCCTTTGGTGCAGAGCAAAATGGGATGCACTGTCAGCAGCCCAGCCTCAGGCTTTGGCAGGTGAGGACCTAATGAATTCGTTAATGTTTTGAATTGCCTTTTCATAAATGCTTGCTGCACACCAGAGTCATTTGGAGAGTTTTGTATTTGTTTTTGTTTTTATAAGTCTCAATGAGGGCTCCATTCCAAAACCAATGAGTTAGAAATTCTAGAGATGGAGCTTGGGTATCTAACTGTTTAAGAATCTCCTTTGGTGATTCTCATACACAGCCAGGGTTGAGATCCATGAATGCATTCAACACATAAAACCACTTCCAGCCCTTGTCAAGAAACTCCAATTGCCTCTCATATGAACACTTGAAAATTGCCCTGTTCTGACTTTTTTGTAGTTCCCTGTCTAGAACTTGTAATGCTAATTACTCTTGCCTTTACTTCTCCTTCACATCTCCTATTCAGGATTCAAGGACTTTCTTCTCCCCTTAGAGACAAGAGTTATGCAATTTGGGAGACTTTTAGATAGACCCACTGAAGGGGTACTCCAGTTGCCTCACCCTGCATCACTGTTCAGCATGGAAGAAGCCAGAGTGGTCTGTGTCCTGATTCCCTATTGGCAATTTGGGTAACCCACTCAGAGGATGGTGTGATAATAGGAGGTAGGAATTGGCTAGGCGGTTAGGGTAAAAAGACCCCAAAGAAATGTAGCCAGTTTCTTGGCTAAAAGTGAAAATATCCTTGGGCCTGTTAGCAACACACTCTGTTCGAAGGCCAAAAATGTCAAAAGTATTTGGGAGCTTGTATCTAATCCTTAAAAGATTTTAGGGTTACCTCTTCAGAGGGGGTAATGTTGGAGGGGAGGGAGTGGGCATGGATTTGATCAAAACATCTTATATGCACGTATGAAATTCTCAATAAAGTTTTTGTAAAAATTTAAAAAAACCACTTCCAATGTGTAAAATTCTATAATGCAATTATTATATAGCCCATCAGTGCACACTTATCTTAGAGCAATGATTTTTACTTTCAGCAAAGTTTAAGTTCCCAGAGAAGGCTCAGTAATCTCTCCTCTCCTCTCTCTCTCTCTCTCTCTCTCTCTCTCTCTCTCTCTCTCTCTCTCTCTCGCTTTTGCTCTCGCTCTCCCTCTCACTCTTGCTCTCCCTTTTCTCCAAGAGCACAACAAACACAAAGGATCATCTTCCAAGTGACTTCCAGGATTTGGCTCCTGGGCTGTCACTACATGAGCGTTGGCTAGTAGCAGCCAGAGCTCACTCCTGGGTGGGTTGATTTCCGGGCAGAAATTACTCAAACCCAATGCAACAGGCATTGTCTATGCATAAGCACAATTCTGGGCCAAGGAGATGGTGCAACAGAAAAAAGTGCTAAACAGCTAAACACAGAACAGTTACTGTGGCTATTTGTCCTGAGGGTGAGGAGGCAAAGCTTTCAGGTTTTAAATATCTAGAGGCCTTCCTTTTCCATCCATGAGTCAACAGTTCCAGAAACGAGTTTACCAAGTTTTGAGGTGCTAAAGTGCAACTCTATAGCCCTATTGGGTCATGGTTACATAGGGGAATATGCAGTTATCCAAACTCACTGAGCTGCCTATTTATAAATAACCTGTGCCTTTTATTGTAGATTAAGACGTGCCTCACATTAAAAATAAAACAGCAACAGGGAAACTAAAACTGGTAAAGTTATTTGTTTTGAGTGGGTTAAGAAACCACAGCGCAGAGTCCCAAGTTAGGGCCAAACGCCCTCTTTGACCTGCCTTGCTCTGGCTGACAGGGGAGCTGAGAAGGCTCAGAGCAGTCCAGGGTTGGGTACGTGTGAGAGGGAGGAGAGTGGCCGACCACCGCGCCCCTAGGCGCGGGTTCTTACCGAGCACCAGGAACGACAGGACCCACTGCAGCACCGCCGCGGTCTGCAGCCTCCGCGCCAGCGGGATGTTGAGCGGCGCGAACTCCACCTTCATGGTCCCACCCGGCGCACCCGCTGGCTGCCTGCAGCCTCCTGGGGTGGACGGAGGCGGATAACCAGGAGGCGGTGGCCCGGGAGCGGGCGGGGACAGAACTTCGACCTGGGGCGGGAGGGCGCCGCGGCTGAGGCGGCGGGCTGCCAATCACCGGCGCTCGCTGCGATCGCGGTCTGCTAGCGCACCCTCCCAGCCGCGGCTGCTGCGCCCGGGGCGCACCCCCTGCGGCGCTCCGGGCCTCGTGGGGTGCGCCGAGAAGGACCCGAGGGACCCGGGGAGGTTGCTTCTGACTAATTTGCCAGAACCTGGGATCTCCAGCAGGGACTATTGTTCAGCTGAACGATCACCCGGTGGCTTGACTCCAGCATCCGCCCTAAAACCCACCCCTTCCTCCAAACGACTGGGGACAGTTCTGAGTCTCTCAGAGGATGGAGAAAGGCTTAGGACTTGAATTTATTCAGCTGGGTTTCCACACCACCCCCATACTCCGGGGCCCGAGAGAGTGGGCTAGGGTGCAATGTTTTGTATCCTCGGATTCCTACGCGAACCTTGAACAATTTCCAACCATTCATTCTTTCAACCCGTGTCACTGAAAGCCTACCAATGGCACCATTGTGGGTATGAGGTCTTATCGGGTAGTCATGTCAGCTGTTCTCAGAGAACACAGTTCATGGGGCAGGACAGGTCTAAGCAAGTACGCAACATAATTACAAGTAAGACTCTGTTATGGCTGACCACAAGAGTCTAGGACCTAGAATCTGGTGGGACTGGGAAGTGGCTGGAGTTCCTTGATTTTTTATGCCGTTGTCTCTGCGTGTGTTCTTGCCTGCGCTCACCTGCCTACATGTTTCTGTGTGGGAGCACAAGGACATGCGTGTGGAGGACAGAGGTTCATCAGTTCATCAGTTTCTCAGGACTGCTGTTCCACCCTTCCACCTTATTTATTTATTTATTTTTATTTTTATTTTTGGTCTTTTTGAGACAGGCCACAGAGCCACAGTAGGCCTGTAACTTGCTATGTAGACAGGCTGGCCCAGTTCTCACAGAGATCCAGCAGCCTCACCTGGGGAGTGCTGGGATTAAAGGTGTGGGCCACCCTGCCCCAGGGGCACTTTGTTTGGGCTTATTGGTTTGTTTGTTTATTTATTTGTTTTGATTTTTTTTTAGCTAGAGTCTCTCACTGGAACCCAGGACTCTCTCAATTAAACTTATGGCAGCTATCCAACAAGCCCCAAGGATTCTCTTAGCCCTGGCCACTATGCCTGGCTTTTCCCTGGATTCTGAGGATGGAGCTCAGGTTCTCTTACTGGTACACAGCCTTTGCCACTTGAGGGTTTTGGTTCATTTTGTTTTGGTCTTTTTGAAATAGGGTCTCCCTGTAGCCTCCAGCTAACAGCTGATCTGGAACTTGCTGTGTAGACAAGGCTGGCCTCAATCTCACAGAGATCTACCTGCCTCTGCCTCCAGAGTGCTGAGATTGAAGGCAAGCATGACCAAGCCCGACTTGATTTGAGTTTTAACAATGAGTTTAGTTAACTGAGAAGGTCTATCAGGCAAAGGTCTTGGCAAAGGGGTTGGGGGCTGTGAATTTTTGTCTACAAAACTCATTTTGTTGTTATTGTTTTCTCATTGAAGAGTCACATTCTTTTTTTTTCCCCCCTCAGTCTTTTTGAGACAGGGTCTCCTTGTAGCCCCAGCTGACCTATTCATTATGTAGACCAGGCTGGCCTCAAACTCAAAGAGATCCCCCTGCCTCTGCCTCTGCCTCCCAAGTGCTGGGAAATTAGAAAAGTCACGGAGTTGGTGTCAGAGTAGAGCAGATTCAAATGCTGTTTTCACTGAAACGTAGAAAAATTGGGTCATCCCTTCAACTGTTGGATCCCCGGTCCGGGGTACCCAACGTCCACGGGAGGCCACACCCCAATAACTCAGTCCTCAAACCAGGAGATGCAACAAGCAAGAAGATTTTAATCATTTGCACAGATGGGCCTCTGCCTCACTTGGGAAGGAGGTCAGTTTCTTTCTCAGCAGTTTAGAATTATTTTACATCTTACTTCCTTGTACAGCTTCCCAGAATATTTTTCTTTACTTTGGTCTGGGGGACTCGGGGCTTTAGTTTGATTCCATCATTCCCTCCTTTTCTTATAGTAAGATTTTAATCTTAAAATCTATAAGTTTTCTGTTCTTTTTAGAGCATGGTATTGTTGAGTAAGGACCAAAGCTTGAGTCACTGATATTCGGTCCCTAATAAACTGTAGCAATCTGTTGAGGATGCATGGCCTGAAGGTTAAGAGAAGGAGAAGAATAACTAGGGGGCCTACTATAGCGGACACTAGAGTAGTTAACCAGGGGGTTTTATTAAACCATCCTTCGAACCATCCCTGTTTGGATTCATGGTCTTTTTGTCTTTTATCTAACATTTCACGGAGTTTAGTCATAGAATCTCTAACAACCCCTGAGCTGTCAGCATAAAAGCAACATTCTTCTCCTAGGGCTGCACAGAGTCCTCCTTCCTTGAGGAAAAGCAGATCTAGCCCTCTTCTATCCTGTAGTACTACTTCTGAGAGAGAGGTTAGGGATTTCTCCAAGAGGGTAATTGACTGTTCTATTGCCCCAATGTCTTCATCTACAGCCATCTGTAAATCTGCATAATATTGTGGTCCTTGTATTAGGGCCACTGTTCCGGTTCCTACCCCTGCCACCACCCCTACTCCCAGAAGTACTGCTAGGGTTAGGGACACAGGCTCTCTTTTATATCTGCCTGGGTGTTGCTCAAAAAACTGTTCTATGGATCTGTGGGGTGATAGAATACTCGGGGCAGGAGCTTAATCATGACACAGTAGTCTTGAGAGGTATTAAGGACCATACTAGCTTCACAGGGAGTTAACCCAGAATTACATGCCCACCAAGCCCCTTGCGGAGGTAGGAGATAGTAATTCCCTTCCCCTGGGGGTACAGAAATAGTGGAGTTGCAAAGGTGGGTGTGGGTTGGAGGTGGGATTCCTAAGCAGAGCCCAGATCCCGAGACTTCTGTGAGGGTTAGGGGGTGAGGGGTCTCTCTATGACATAGGTCAGCTGAGATGGTGTTATTGAATGTCCATTGTGTGGCTATGCCCTCGTAATAAGGGGGTGCTGCTGCTAAACATAGCCAACAGGATTCAGTCAGGTTGGGGTCTGTGTGTCTAATGGCTCCTTGGATTAAATTGAACAGTCGGTCCCCCATGGGCAAAACCTTTTGACTCAGGGGGCTGGTGGTCTGTTCTAACAGGATATTGGCAGGGGAAGTGTCAGAAAAAGGGTTGGGGAGGTGCTGTGAGGTGGCTTCAGGTGTTAAGGCTGGCAGGGGATTTGGGTGACTGGGGATGGGATTCTGAATAGGTAAGACGGGGTTGGGGCCTATAGCTATTGAATAGGAGGAGATGTCTCTTTTAATAGTAAACAAGAGGCCAGGATCTGTCCCTTCCTTGTATATCCTAATTCCCCAAGAATGTCCCTTTTCCCAATCTGTGGCCTTTTTTCCTGCTGTTGTGAATTCTATCCAGAGGGGGTGGCACCATTTACCTCAACAGTCCTGATTAAGACCGTTTGGGCTCTTATGAGAATAATTTGCTTTTACAGTGATGTAATCCCAGGATGAGGACAGGGACCACCAGGTGTCCCCAGTTGTTTCGCATCCCCAGTTTTTACAGTAAAAGTAGTCCCTTTCTCCACATTGGGAGTTGAGCCGCTTATCTCGATGGTTACCTGGGCAGACATAGAAGGTTAACAGATGTAACAGGTTCCGTTGTTGTTCACGACACCCTCCCCATGTTAAGTGGGGCCCTGTGCACAGGGGGTAAGCTTCCGGGCCATGGATTTTGTCAGGATCCATGAAGTCTGGTATGTCCCAGGGCGCTGGTGCTCCTAAGGCTAATTTACACAAATCTGGATACAATGTGGGCCACCAAGTGCCTTTGGGTGCCATTTGGTAGGTTTCAAACACTACAATACCCATTTGATTGATCACCCGCCAGGTGGTCAGTATAGGGAGATGGGGGCTTCCTTGACTGGGGACAAACCTACAAACAAGTAGAATCATTAGGTATCTCTGGAGAGTCTTATTTTTAGAGGGTTGGATGTTTTGTGTAGATGCCATTTTCCAGCATCCTCCTGGGCCGGTGCTCTTTTGGCGTGGGAAGCGTGGATCCAGGCCAAAATCCCATCTACTTTGAGGGCCATGGGCATAGTCAGGAGAACCATGTAGGGTCCTTTCCACCGTGGTTCAAGAGTCTTTACATGGTGTCTTCTCACATACACCTGATCTCCAATTTGGTAGGAGTGGGGGGGCATTCGTGGACTCCCAGGCCGGTAGACAGCAGCCAAAGGCCTCCAAACCTGGTTCTGGGTGATCTGGAGGACTTGGAGTCTTGTTTTCAGGCTGGGATTATCAAAAGAAGAGGGCAAGGGGGACAAGGTTACATTGAGAACAGGAGGCAGTCCTCCAAAAAGGATTTCATAGGGGGTTAGGCTGTGTATAGCAGGAGTATTTCTAGCCCGAAATAGAGCTAGAGGTAAGAGCTGCACCCAGTCTTTAGTGCCAGTCTCTAGAGCTAATTTAGCTAAGGTCTCTTTAATGGTTCTATTCATTCTTTCTACCTGTCCTGAACTTTGGGGTCTGTAAGCACAATGTAATTTCCAATTGATCCCCAACGCTTTGGCCACTCCCTGACTTACCTGGGAGACGAAGGCTTCTTCACCACAGTCTGGGCTGTTTCCTTCCGGGTGGGGAAAGCTTCCACCCACCCTGAGAAAGTGTCTATAAACACTAGGAGATATTTACAACCATATTTTCCTGGAAGAACCTCAGTGAAATCTACTTCCCAATTAGTCCCTGGTCGTGTTCCTCTTTTTTCTCTTGCCAGATGGGACCTTTGATCTGGAAGCATTCACCAGGGAACATGAGACACAATCTCCTACTACCTTCTGAACTAGCTAGTTAAGGTCTGGGAAGTAATAGAATTGTTCTTCTCTTTCTAGTAGTGTTTTTAGTTTCATGTGTCCTAAGTGTGTCCATTGGTGGAGCTGGGAGATTAGCTCAAGAGCTGCCTTTCGGGGAAGCACTACCCTATCCTGGTGTCTCCACATTTTGGATTCTGGGTCCCGGGTAGCATTGAGCTTCTGAACGAGTTCCAGATCTTGTTCAGTATAGGTAAAAAGAGCATCTCCCTCCTTTGTGCCTCAATTTCAGCCTTAAGGTTGGAATGGGTGTAGAAAATGCAGGTGCCTTCTGCTGCCTGACGAGCAGCTTCATCTGCCATCCAATTGGCTTGAGCAATCAGCCCCTGGTCTCGCTGATGTCCAGGGCAATGAATTATGCTGACCTTTTTAGGCAAGTATAAGGCTTGTAGAAGGGCCACTATTGTTTCTTTGTTTTTAATGTTCTTGCCCACTGAGGTGAGGAGCCCCCTCCTCCAATAAATTTCTCCATGTACATGAGCCATGGCAAACGCATAGTGGCTGTCAGTGTAAATATTGACCTTTTTGCCCTCTGCTAATTTTAGGGCCTGGGTTAGGGCTTCTAATTCAGCCCATTGGGCTGATGTTCCGGCCGGCAGAGCTTGGGCCCAAATTATTTTTTCTACATCTACCACCGCCACTCCTGCCTTACACTCTCCGTCTCGCAGAAAGCTGCTCCCATCCGTATACCAGGTGGCATCTGCATCTGTTAGGGGCTGGTCGGTGAGGTCTTCCCTAGTCCCATGCGTCTCCGCAAGTACTTGCTGGAAGTCATGGGGAATCTCAGTGCCTTTCTCAGGGACTGGTATCAGCGTGGCAGGGTTTAAGGTGGCAGGGCTACCAAACTTGATCTTTTCTGGATTTAATAGTAATGCCTGGTGATGGGTCACCCTGGCATTTGACAAACATCTGTCAGGAGCCTGTCTAATGATGGACTCCACTGCATGTGGTGTTATAACAGTCAGGGGCTGACCCATAGTGAGTTTGTCTGAGTCTTTTACCAGGGATGCTATTGCCGTCATGATTCTCAAGCATGGGGGCCAGCCAGCGGCCACGTTGTCCAGTTTCTTTGAGAGATAAGCTACTGGCCTTTTCCAGAGTCCCAAAGTCTGAGTAAGGACCCCTTTTGCCATCCCTTTATTTTCATCTATATATAAGACAAAGGGTTTTGTCAAGTCTGGCAATCCTAGAGCTGGAGCCGTCAGCAGCGCTCTTTTTATTTTGTCAAAAGCTCTCTGGTGTTCATCAGCCCAGATGAAAGGAGTCCCGTTCTTTGTTAAAGGATATAGAGGAGCCGCTATTTTGGTGAAGCCCGGTATCCATAATCTACAGAATCCTGCACTTCCCAAGAACCCTCTGAGTTCTCTGGCTGAAGTTGGTGGGGGAATAGAGGCTACTACCTGTTTTCTACTTTCCATCAGCCATCGTTGTCCTCCCTCAAGCTGGTAGCCCAAATAGTTTACCTGCTGTAGGCAGATCTGGACCTTCTTTGCCGAGGCCCGATATCCAAGTTCCCCCAGTCTCAATAGGAGAGCCTCCGTACCTTGCAAACAGCTTGCTTCCATCTCGGCTGCTAAGAGGAGGTCATCTACATACTGGAGGAGCATAATCTGTGGGTTTCTTACCCGAAAGTCAGCCAGGTAACAATGCAGAGCTTCATCAAACAGAGTAGGGGAGTTCTTGAATCCTTAGGGAAGTCGCGTCCAGGTTAGTTGTCCCGATATTCCAGCTTCAGGGTCCTTCCATTCAAAAGCAAAGATGGCCTGGCTAGCCGGGCTCAGCCTTAGGCAGAAGAACACATCCTTCAGGTCAAGTACAGTATACCACCTGTGACTGGGAGGCCAGGTACTCAGGAGATTGTAGGGATTTGGAACAGTGGGGTGTATATTCTCTACCCTCCAATTGACTTCTCTTAAGTCTTGGACTGGTCGATAGTCATTTGTTCCTGGCTTTTTCACAGGGAGCAGCGGGGTGTTCCAAGGGGATTGGCAGGGGCGAAGTATGCCCATTTGTAAAAGTCTTTGAATGTGGGGCCTGATTCCCTCTCGGGCCTCTTTGCTCATAGGGTATTGTCTGATTGAAACCGGAGTTGCAGATGGTTTTAGTGTGACCACTATTGGAGGCTGGTTGCATGGGCAAGCCTCCTGTCTCAGCCCATGCCAAGGGGATTTTAGTTAGCCAATCAGATATACCAGGAGTTTCTGCTATCGGTCCCTCATATAACCGATGTTCATCTTCCAGCCACAGGGTTAATACCTGTAGTGGAGCTCCATCTTTTCCTTTTACAGTAGCTCCCTTTCTAGTGAAGTGGATGTGGGCTCCCAACTTGGAGAGTAAATCTCTCCCAAGAAGGGGATATGGACAGTCTGGGACCAGTAAGAACGAGTGGGAGACCTGTCCTGTACTGAGGTCCACTTTTCTTTCTGTGGTCCACCTATATGTCTTTCCTCCAGTAGCCCCTTGGACCCAGGCTGTTCTGGAACTCATGGCCCCCTTGGTTGTGGTCAAGACTGAGTGTTGAGCTCCTGTGTCTACCATGAAGGTAGTCAATTGCCCCCCTATCTTTAGAGTTACCCTGGGCTCAGGGGGGAGCTCCTGGCCCCAACTCCCCTAGTCCCCTAGGGTCAGGACTGGGGTTGTCTTCTTTTGAAGTCTGTTCAACTTCTTTGGACATTCTCGTGCCCAATGTCCTCTTTCCTTGCAATAGGCACACTGGTCTTTATCCACTCGGGGCCTTCTCTTGTCTCCCAGGTCCCTGCCTGGTCCTGTTCCCTGAACTACTGTGGCCAAAATTCGACTCAACTCTTTGTTTCTCTTTTTATCTCTCTTATCTTCTCTAGCTTCCTGTTCTTTTCTAATTCTGTCCTCTCTTTCCTCTGCGGTCTCTCGCTTGTTGTAGATCTTCTATTTTTCTTATCCTCTCTAGCTTCCTGCTCTTTTCTGATTCTGTCCTCTCTTTCTTCTAAAGTTTCTCGCTTATTATAGATTCTTTCAGCTTCTCTTACTAAGTCCTGTAAGGAGTACCCCTGAAGGCCCTCTAGCCATTGGAGCTTACCACGAATGTCAGGAGCTGATTGTCCTATAAAGGCCATAATAAGGTCCGCCTGATGCTCCTGGGCCGTGGGGTCAAAAGGGGTGTACATCTGATATCCCTCTATCAGGCGCTCTAGGAACCCAGCGGGGGTTTCATTTTCCCCCTGGGTTATAGCACGTACCTTTGCCAAATTGGTTGGGTGCCTTCCGGCCCCTTTGAGACCCGCTATCAGAGTCTGGTGATAAAGATGGAGATGCTCCCTACCAGCCATAGTCTTGTGGTTCCAATTGGGTCTGGTCAGAGGAAATCCTTCATCTATTTCACTTGGGAGCAGAGTGGGTCTCCCATCCTTCCCGGGGATGTTTTTCCGGGCCTCTAGGATGACTCGCTGTCTCTCTTCTGTGGTTAGGAGTGCCTGGAGGAGCTGTTGACAATCCTCCCAGGTGGGTTGGTGGGTGAGGAGGATAGACTCTATTAAAGCAGTTAGAGCCTGCGGGTCCTGAGAAAAAGAGGGATTATGTGTCTTCCAATTATACAAGTCAGAGGCTGAAAAAGGCCAATACTGGATCTGATCCCCTACTGTTCAGAGGGGAAGAACCTGGGCAGTCCCAGTTCCATCAGAGGGGCCCCCTCTGTCCCTCCTCAGGCAGAGTCTGCTAGACAGAGGGGGGGATTGGTCAGGTTCGGTGGAATCAGGAGAAGGATGAGGTTCCTGGGGTGGAGGTGCCTGTGCAGGTGGATAGGGAGGTGGAGGATCAAGGAGGGTTAGGGAGACTTGGTCCTCAGGAAGGACTGGCTTTTGTTTCTTCTTCTCAGGGGAAGACTGAAGGGGCAGGAGGGAGGAAGTGAGACTCAGGGGAGCAGAAGGGGTATTGGGCCCTTGATCAGTTTCTCTGGTTCCCCGAGGGGGTAGGAACGGCCATGCCCAAGGTGTGGGGTTTCGGGCCAAGTCTTCCCAGGTGACTATGTAGGCCACCTGGTCCAGGTGTCCATGTGGTCCTGAGTGGATAATGTATTCCTTAACCTGCAAGATAGTAGCAAGGTCAAAAGTCCCATCCCTTGGCCACCCATTTTCAAAAGAGGGCCATTCAGAGGAACAGAGACTTTGCCACTTCTTCTTTTGGACCTCTAATGATAAGTTGTAGGCCCGCTCCACAACCTCCTTCAAATA